GTCGAGTCCACCCACTGGGTGCTGGAAGCTCCATTTTCCTGGTTGTCTGTCCTTCTTATCCATCTCCTGCTCCCTGGGGTCCCAGCTTTATCCTGAGCCACCCCTTTAATGGAGCCCCTGCTGCTCCCCCATTTGCCTTGTGTTCTCTCATTCTTCAGGCAATCGATTCTCCTTTCTAACTTTGATTACCCTGCCCAGCATTTCTCAATACACTATTGTGTGGGGAAGAAAACCTTTCTTACCAGGAGTGACACTGGAAACAGGCAGAAATTTCCAAGTTTGCTACACGCCTCAAAGCTGCCAGATTGCACAACCTTGGAAAGTAGACGGGCGTGAAGAAGGAGCCTGATGTTCTGGATGCTGTGTGCTGGCCAAAAGGAATTTCCCAAATCTCAGTGTTTTTGCTTCACACCTGCTTTCCCACCCACTCCCCTAGCAGAGTGTCAGTATATATAATGCCAGCCCCCCTCACAGGCAGGAGACACGGGCAGCTCGGCCTCACCAGGAGCCTCGGCACGAAGGGACAGCCAAAGGTGAGGTGCTAGACTTGCCTACACTTTCCTTCTTTGCAGATTCTCTTACCCGAAGGCGTTCTTGGGCTGTGTCCTCACTCTCTGCTTCCTCCCTGATCTATTCTCCTGGCAATTTGAATTCTCCAGATGTGAATACTTTCTGGGATTGGGATTTGGTCGTGTACTTTGTCTGTGGGAGTTCACGGATGGGTAGAGCAGGCGTTCTGCAAATATGTGTGCAATGTCCCACAATCCTCATTTTACAGATGGGTACACGGTCACGAAATCCCTAAAGGCCTCTTTGGAAACTTTCCGGACAGCGGGTTTCAGGGCTCCTAGGGGACGACTGAAATGGCAAGTGGTTTATATTAGAAGCGCAGCGCGATCTCTCTTACTGGGATTCCTATGGGGCAAATGGCAACGGAGAACTGGACCTTCTGTTCTATGTATCGTGTGTCACCTGCGTATATATGTGTATACACATTGCCTATTTCTTTCTACCTACATTTATACACACATGTGTATATACACGGGTGTATACGTACACATATGTGTGTATATATGCAGGTATGTGTATAGATAAATAGATATCGGTAACATCTAATACTAAGTAGATGTAGGTAATAGGTAAGATACAGGTGTGGGTCCACGTGCCTCCCCCCGAAAACCCCAAACCAAACCAAACCAAAAGTGTGTCGTCCTTGTGTGTTTCTGTGACTCTGCTGCAGGATGAAGCTTTTCGTGGGCATCCTGTTGTGCTCCCTGGTCCTGGGCGTCAGCAGCCAAAGATGGCTCAGGTTCCTCAAGGAAGCTGGTCAAGGTAAGGACCAAAGGATGGCGGTCCGGGGAAGGCAGCAACTGGCCCCCCACCAGAACTGACCACAGTGGAGGCCACATCCCCACAGGGCAAAGGCCACAAGTGGGAAGAAAAGCAGCACGGTTTGCAAGATAGCAGTTTCCCAGGCTTTTTGGAACAATTGAACCACATCTGGCATTATAACTTTGTGTATATTTAAGGTGAATGCATGTTAATGACACATTTGTTTACTTAATAGGATTGGCATTATGGCTCTAGAGAGCACCTCTATCACGTGACATAATTATCCTTTCCCTTTAGTAGTTGAGATAATTAAGTTCTAGACTGTAGCAAGTTTGCTAATTATGATACGGTATTGATTTGCCTTCATTTTACTGTGCGCTAGATGTCTAAAGCTTATTTTCTACTGGCGGTTTTTCCCCTTAAATGACATGTGTCCTATCTCTCCAGCCCTGGCCCTTCTGGCCAGCATTGCACTGTTCCATGGGGATCCCCAGGACGAAGGTCACATAGGCTTTGGGTTTTAACTTGCAGCAGAGCAGAAGACATCTGGGGTCCAGGGCGCCTGCTCCCCACTCACAAGTGGGACTCCAGTGCCACCTAGTGGGAAACCGGGGACACAGCTTATTGCTGTGTCTCAGCTATGAAGTGGGTGCATCAAACTTGTGCTCTTAGTAACTACAACCAACAGTCGCTGAGCTCAGCCTGTCCCAGGCACTGTTCTAAGAGCTTTACATGTATGAATGAATCCTAAACAGTAGAAATAATAAACACATAAAATGAAGATAAGGCATTACATGGATACTACATAAACTACGATTACGCTCGACACTGGGTCTTTCTCTTTTGCCTACTACATTAATTCTTATAAATAAATGTTTATTTATTTTTGAGAGAGAGACAGAGTGTGAGCAGGGGAGGAGAACAGAGACAGAGGAGACACAGAATCCAAAGCAGGTTCCAGGCTCTGAGCTGTCAGCACAGAGCCGATGCAGGGCTCAAACTCACGAACCGTGAGATCGTGACCTGAGCTGAAGTTGGACATTTAACTGACTGAGCCACCCAGGCACCCCATACATTACTTTTTCAGGGTCTGCATTTTATGTAGCCTGATCAGATTCCTTCAGTCTGTAACTGTCTGATCTTCCTCTTAGCTTAATCGCTTTACTGTTTTTGTCCCAGCCTTCCGAAGGCCCAGAGAAGTGATAGCATATTGAACACCTACAATCTTCTAGAAGTTACATGTGCATTTTTCTCAGTACATCTGCATAACCACCCTGCGGATGGCAATATACTCCTGCATTTACTGGGAGGACACTGAACTTTAGAGCTGGGGGACCAGTTGTACTTTTTCTGCGTCTGATGACCTGTTTTTGTAAATCTCTCTAGGGGAACTCCCCTTTACCACCTGCTGGTTGACTTCTGACAGTTGCCTGGGTGCCAAACATGCCCCAGACTTTCAGAAATACTCAGGACCAAGTCGTCTTCAAGCTGCCCACAGGCATGAATTTCTCCCCTTGACCTGGTTGGGAGCCCTCTGGGTCAGCAGCCTCCCTCTGACTTGCCTTTGTTCTCACGCCCCAGTCAGAGGGTTCCCTGCGTCTGTCCAGGTAGAGGTCATCGCAGGACAAAGCATCCCTTAAAGACCATCCCACCTCTTGTTCACACACATCCCACAGCCAAACATAAAGTAGCAACAGTACTCAGAATGGAATCAAGCAGAATAAAATGCACCAAGGGTGCTTCTCATAACATTCACCCAGGGAAGTGAAATGTAAAGGAACACTCATCCCAGCCAACATCCTCTCCAAGGATTTTGTCAAAGACTGAGATCTTAGAATCGGTGGGAGGAAAATGTCTTTTCCTCTATTTTGCCAAGACACGATCACCTTCATCTCATCATTTGCTTTCCTTTCCAGGGACTAAAGACATGTGGAGAGCCTACTCTGACATGAGAGAAGCCAATTACAA